CACAAACCATAACAGGGACTCTATCTGGTTCCCTGCCCCTTCTCTGGCTCTCTCTGCTTCCTGACTGCCACAAGATGAGCAACTTTCCTCTGCCACATCTTTCTGCCATAATTGTTCTGCCTCATCACAGGCATAAAGCATCACAGCTAACCGCAGACTGAACCCTCTCAAACTGTGAGCCAAAATAAATCTTTTTTTCTTTTCACTGTTGCTGTCAAGTGATGAAAAAAGGTGGCAGACCTTTGTGCTTTTAATTTGAATGAAACTCAAACATAGCTTACTATGCTACAAAAAAGGTCCATAGCAGTTCAAGTTGGAAAAGTACTAGAAAAATACATCCTGTCACCCAACTTCTTAAACCTGTTGTGGTAAAATACACGTAGCATTTTAGTCATTTTTAAATGTAAAGTTCAGTGGCATCAAAGTATATACACACGGTTGTGCAATTACCACCATACATCTCTAGAACTTTTCATTTACACCATTGAAACTCTGTACTCATTAAATGTTAACTCCTCACACTCCTCTCTCCTACCCCTGGAAACTACCATTCTACTTCTGTTTCTATAAATTTGACTACTTTAGTTACATCACAGAAGTGGAATCATGCAATTTTGTCCTTTTGTGACTAGCTTATTTTATGTAACATAATGTTCACAGGATTCATCTCTATTGCACTATATGTGAGAACTTCCTTCTTTCCACTACATGTATATACCACACTTTGCTTACTCACTCATTCTTCAATGAACGCTTCAAGTGCTTCTACCTGCTGGGTGGTGTCAACACACGCTCTATAAACATGGGTGTCAAAGTGTATTTTTTTTTTTTTTGTGGAACCGGGGATTGAATTCAGACTCTTGCGCTTGCCAGGGAAGTGCTTATTCTACTGAGCCATCTCCCCGGCCCCTAAAGTGTATGTTGAGTCCCTATTTTCACTTCTTTCAGGTACATCACCAGAAGCAGAGCTGCTGAATCATAATGGCATTTCTATGTTTAGTTTTTAAAGAATTGCTATGTCATTTTTCACAGTGGCTGCAACCTTTTATATTCCCACCAGCAGTGCAGAAATACATGTTTCTCCACAACCTCACTAATGCTTGCTAGTTTTTAAAACAGTAGTCATCAAAATGGATATGAAGGGGCTGGTGAGATGGCTCAGTGGTCTAAAGCACCTACTTAGAACAAGCTTAGCAAAGCCCCGGGACCACGGTTCAATCCCCCAGCAACATGCCAGCCCACCCCCTGGTGGGCTGAGCTGGCCACACACACACACACACACACACACACACACATAAATAAATAAATAAAATTTAAAAAAAAAATGGATATGAAGCAGTGTTTCACAGTGGAGTTTTATTTCTCTAGTGCTATTCAGTATCTTTTCATGTGCTTACTGGCCATTAAAACATGTGTTTTTGGAGAATCAATTATCTTTTAAATAACATTATCTATACCCCAAACACTATGCTAACATTCAGATACAAAAGAATCAGATAAATTCAGTGTTGCCAATTTAATTTTAGCAAAACAATATTTTATGCACACTGGATCCGTGATTCTCAATCAGGGGCATTTTTGCTTCATGTTGGTTGTCATACTGGGTGGGTGCTACTGGCATCCAAATGGCAGAGGCCACAGATGCTGCCAACCATCCTACAATGCACATTAGACACCATGATAAACGACTTATGTAGACCAAAATGCTAGTGGTTCCAAGGTTGAGAAATTTTGCACCATAGTATTAATTCAAGTTCATTAATTTAGTAGTTTTGTTTACAATTAATTTGTAAAATAAGTTGCTTTTATAGTTAAAGGCATCATGCTTGAGTTTACACATAACATATGTGGACATACAATATGTGAATTTTTATAAACGTTGGACATTCATGACAATTTTTCCGTTTAATCAAAGGTAAAAAGCACTGCTCTGTGGAAAGTATGGTATGCAATATTTGGTGTTTCTGCCTTTTCTCCCACAAATACCTGAACACCTATTATGTGGTAGGAACTGTGGCAGGTGCTGAGTACATGCATGAAAATCACACTGTGGTCTCTGCCACCATGTACAATCTATTTAGGATAAAGACTGTAAATAGGTAACCAAAATAAATAATTACTAGTGGTGACAGTACTAAAAAGAAATAAGTTGCTGTGATAGAGAGTAATGGTATAAGGGAATGATATTTAATTTAAAGATGTGGTGAGGAAACTTTCTGAGGTAACATCAAAGCTGAGACCTTAGGAATGAAAAGGAGGAAAATATCCGCTTGAGGCTTTAAAAAAGGAAGAAAGAAAGAAAGAAAGAAAGAAAGAAGATTTACTTGTGGCTTTTTCTTCAGCTTCCCCAACTATCTTTCTTATACTGTTATCTCTTTTTACTTGAAACAGTCCAGCACCCATAGATACTTCTTGTACATTTCCTCCTATGTAAGCAGCATTGTGGTCAGTACTAGGGGGAAAGGTGACATGCCAATTCAGTCCTCAAAGATCTACATACCAAAAGTAACATTTCAAAAAACTTATCTGGGATCCGCCTCCGTTTCTCATCCAGTCCCTCCAGGGCCCTGCCTTCCAGTCACCTGGCCAGGCCCCGCCCTGAGGTCCCTCGGACTCCACCCCGACGCGGGCTCCCGAGTTTCCCAGCTGCTGGCCGCTCCGTGCCGCTCTATACCTGCAGGCCACTGCGCTTGTTCCAGGTGAAGATGGACCCGGGGTACCCGCTCAGAGCCAGGAGCAGTTCGTGGATCATCCCCTAGCGGATTTGGGAGAGCCTGGACACGTCACCCTCTCCTCCAGCACCTCTCCAGGGCGGAGCGCTCTTCCCTATAGAAGAACCAGCGCGGGTCAGTCAGTCAGCTCGCAGGACCCCTCAGCTGAAGGAGTAGAAGCATGGCGTGGGAAGCCCGGAGTCGCGTCCCGGAAGTGCGCGGGCTCTGACGACCCACTCTTTCTCTACCCAGCCGGCGCGCGTAGAGGGAGGCGCGAGAGCTGCCACCGCGCATGCGCTCTTGGGGTCCCGCGGAGCCCGTTCGGACTTCCGGTTTGGGAGCCAGACTGAGCTCCTGGAGAGCTGTTGGGCCGGACCCCGAAGGGGTGAGGCTGGCCTGGAGCAGGGAAGCAAGTGAGCCAAGTGGTAGCTCGAGAGGGATATGGGCGTGGGCCGAGGTGCCTTTAGGGAGCCTGAGCCAGGTCCGACGCCTCTGGGGAAACTGCTGCCCTGCGTGTCTGAGTGACCCGGCGGGAGGGCGCGAAGACAAAGAAGCCTGACCGCCTTAGCCGCCGCTCCCGGAGCCTTCAGCCCTCGGAGCCCCGCCACGGCCGCGCTCGCCCCAGGAACTCTGCCCCTCAGGCCCGTCCCTCCAGGACACAGTGTGACTTTCACAAGCCCGGAACCGGGTCACGCTCCAGGAGCTAGCCAGCTTCATCCTATGCGCGAGACTTCCCATCATTAGTCCCACACCCTGGCTGGTCACTTGCTGCGAGGGAAAACACACGCCTGGAGTTCAGCTCTCGAATTTGAGCGGGATGGGATTCGACAGTTCCGGAGCCCACGGAGTGGGACAGATGAAGAAGGCAGGAGAGGAAACCGCAGAGTTTCCAGGGGGCTTCCCCAGGGACCCCAGGGCATCCAGCAAATCGATGACACCTTAAGATCCTTGAGTTTCAGGTGACCCGCATCATTCAAGCTCACTGCAACACAGATGAGGTGAATTCATTGTGCTCAGATTTGGGGAAGGCAGGATAGAAGCAGACAGTTCTTTTCTCTTCCAGCAGCTTCTTGAGACTGCCTTAAGTGTGGCCCAGAGATAGAGTTTTTGAAAGGTCCCTCTTGCTCAGTGTTGATTGCCTCAAAGATGGTGCGACCTCACCAAATAGCCTCTTGGAACACATGGGAGGTCAGGCCAGCTCCATCAAGACTTAGACAAATGAATATATTGATGGTGCCATCTCTCTCTGCCCTAGGAAGCAACTCCCCTTACAGAGAAAAACTTATCTACAGTTGATTCCCTAAGTACTTGGGAAGATAGGTGTCAACCCTGGAACCCAGACCCTTAAGTGGAAGGAAACTGCTTTGTGCTGTGAAAGATGGCCAAACCCACTTTGCGAGAGAATGGCACCAACTCTGAAGGTTTTCGCCAGCGCTTCAGGAGGTTCCACTACCAGGAGGTGGCTGGTCCCCGGGAGGCTTTCAGTCAACTGTGGGAACTTTGTTGTTCCTGGCTAAGGCCAGAAGTGCGCACCAAGGAGCAGATTGTAGAATTGTTGGTGCTAGAGCAGTTCCTGACCATCTTACCTGGGGAGATCCAAAAGTGGGTCCAGGAACAATGTCCAGAGAGTGGAGAGGAGGCAGTGACTCTGGTGGAAGATTTAGAAAGAGAACCTGGACGACCTGGATGTTCGGTGAGAAGAGAGGGGAATTTAGAAGTATGAAACTGGGAAGGGGCAAGGTATACATTTTTTATTTTTTATTTTTAATACATTTGGTACAAGGTCTCACTACACAGCTCGGACTTGTAGTGATCCTCCTGTTTTCAGCCTCCCCAGCACTGGGATTACAGGTGGCGCTACATTGCCTGGACTCGGTCGCTGGCTCGTTGCGCCCTGGGGTGGGGTTGGTGTGGCATAGGATACTGGGGATCAAACTCCGGTCCCTGCACTTGCCTAAGAACAAGCTTAGTCTGCTGAGCTATCTTGTCAGCCATTAAGGTATAAATTTAAAGTATAAACAGTCTTCCTTATGCTTCTGATCTAGTGATATTTTCTGGTCTAGAACAAGTTTCTCAGTGCATGTCTGGAGGTGTTATCTGGGTGTGTTATTGTCTACCCTGTCACAATGTTTTGATTTTAATTTTAGTTTCCTGTATACTAGAGAGAGGATATTTTTCAGCCTGGAATTAGTTTTTTTTTAATTTTAATTTTAATTTTTTTTTTTGGAATTAGGTTTACTATTTTGATGTTTTCCTTCTGGAGTTCTAGTTGCTTTAAGCTGATGGTAATGGAATAAGAATCATCTTTGCTGTAACCTCTTCACTCCTGTAATTAAAGCTGTGCTCTAGATCACTTTGAGGGTATTAAATAATCTCTGAGATTGTTCCTCATGACTTTGCAGTGACAATAAGTGGGGGTTGTTTTTAGGTCACAGTGTCTGTGAAGGGGGAGGAAGTGTGCCTGGAGAAGATGATACCCCAGAAATCATCACGAGATTTATTAAGTATTCAGCAGAAATCAGTGGAACCCCAGCCCAGCGGTGGACCCAAGAAAGAGAGGGCAAGAAGCCCAGATCTGGGACTACAGGAGCAGATGAACCCAAAGGAGAATCTCAGGCACTTTGAAAGGAGTGGTGAGAAGTAGACTCTTATGGGAAGATACTAAATCTGAAAGTTGGGTTGGAGATAGTGAGAAAAGGATTTTAGAAATAAGGGAAATGGTGCAATATGTGGTAGTTATTGGGAACCATCTGAAGACATGTACTTTAGCCATCTGTTACAGTATTTTGATATATCCTTTTTTGATAAATGTTAGTGAATGGCTCCCTAGTTTTTATATAAAACCTCGAACTATTTTATTTCTTCTTGGTAATGATGATAGTAAGTCACTACTTTCTAGATAGAAATTTTTTTCTATATCTAAAAGTACATCTTTCTTTTAGCTCCAAATTGTATTTGTCTTTTTAAAATTTCCCCTTAAGGCCAGATGTGGTGGTACATGCTTATAATTCCAGCACTAGGGAGGCTGAGGCAGGAGGATCAATTTGAGTTTGAGGTTAGCCTGGGCTGCTCAAGGCTAAACTACATAGTGAGACCCTGTCTTAAAAAAAACAAAAAACTCCCATAATCTCCAATCTTTAGGCATAAGTGCTTGTTACTTTCAACTTTTGAATTTTTAAATTTTCCAGGTATTGTGGGGAACTAAATTACATATACTATTCCAGTAAGGGTCTAGTAGGTAGAAGCTTAGAAAGAATTTTAGTTCGGACTCTCACATCCTTAAATATAGTCCAGTTTATGCTTATGTGATCATTTATGTTCATCTGGTAATCCTAGGACAATTAACAGTTTTCTCCAATGTCTTTGTATTTAGTCATTTACCCTTGTACTTAATTTTGTAGAACTTGTTTTTCTTCTTTATACTGTTAAATTCTATTTTGTATATTGTTTTGATCATGCTTGTTTTGAATTCTGATTTTGTCATCCAAGATGGCCTTCTTTACCCATTTGAGATTGGTCTCTAGTTAACCAGATGAAATTCCTTAATTGCACACACAGACTTGCAGCATGAATCCTTCTACCTCACATGCATGAACTTACAAGTTTCCTTGTGCTCAGCACTCTCCAATAAGAAAGGGATTCACCTTGAAGAGCTTAGAATGTGATTGAAAACACAACAGCAGTCTGTAGAAACTAATTACTTGTTCAGTTACAGGAGTTTGGAAGAGTGGAGATGAGTGAGGGCTGCAAGGACAAGTTCTGGAAGGATGGGCTGAGTCTGGTAAGGAGGAAAGGATTAAAGGAAAGGCACAAAATGGTGAATAAAAGTGTACTGTGTTCAGACCAGGGATATACCTCAGGGGTACAGCACCTCCTGCCTGGCAAGTGCAAGGTGCAGAGTTCTGTACGGTGTTCTAGAAAGCACAACATACAGGAAAGGATAGTGCATGCTAGGCACTAGTGTTACTGTTCAGCAGAATAGCATGTGAACTGAGGAAGCAAGAACTTGGAGTTCAGTAGGACAGTGGCTATTGCAGTTATCTGGGAGGATTAGGGGTCTGAACTTGGATGGCAGTAGTAGGGATATAGAGAAAGCATGTATCAAGGGAAATTAGAATCTGGTGACTTGAATGTGAAGGAAACAGTCGAAGACAGTATTCCCTCCCCTCACTCTTGAAGTCACTGAGTTTAATTCTCTAATCCCAAGTGAAGAAAAATAGGACAGAAAGTGACTAGTCCCAGCAGTGCTACAACCTGCAGTCAAATAGTCTGGAAGGCGAGCGAGCAACTTGGAATAGGATTATCTCCTTTGAACAAACAGCAGAACTTCTTCTGTTCTTGTCACCCTGTTCTGGAAAATAAAATATTTTTTATTTTTTGAGGTTTCCTGTACTTTCCCTTTTCTTTAACCCACTGAACTTCCTGAAAACACTATCTTAGATCATTTCTTTGTTATCTCTTTGATAAAAATGGCAGGACTGAATTCAGAGATGTTTTGTGTGATCATTCCAGAGTATGATACCTTTTGTTTGCTTCCTTGCAAGCAGAATTTCCATTTCCTAAATCTGGTGTGGTCTGTAAGTTGGAACAAGGTAAGCCATGGATTCCCAATCTGGGCTTCAAGGAGAAAGAAGTCCCAAGAGGCAGCCACACAGGAGATAGACGAGTGCATGCTGACTTATTGCCATCCAAAAGAGAAAGGAGAAACTGGATGGAGCAGGATCACTGGGGCTTTGAGGATGAGAAAGTGGCTGGTGTGCACTGGGGCTATGAAGAGACCAGAACTCTCCTTGCAATTCTAAGCCAAACTGAACTTTATGAGGCCCTTCGAAACTGTCACAGAAACAGCCAAGTGTATGGGGCTGTGGCTGAGAGACTACGGGAGTATGGCTTCCTCCGGACCCTGGAACAGTGTCGGACCAAGTTTAAAGGTCTTCAGAAGAGTTATAGGAAAGTCAAGAGTGGCCATCCACCTGAGACCTGCCCTTTCTTTGAAGAGATGGAAGCCCTGATGAGTGCTCAGGTCATTGCCCTGCCCAGTAATGGCCAGAAAGAGGCAGCCTCTCACTCTGCTCAGGTGGGCAATGATATTGAATCTAAAGTGCCTCACCAAGGGGGTTGGCAGCATGAGGAGGAAGCAGAAGAGACTCAGGCTGAGGAGTCTGACAGTGATGAAATGGACCTAGAGGCCACCTCACAGGACCCTAATGACTCAGCTGTACCTGTCATGTTCCGAAGTCCAAGTGGTAAGGAGCTTTTCTTGGGGTTTTGGGATTAGATAGCAGTCAAACTGTTTTGAGGAGTCTGAGGCTATTACCTGTCAGCCTGGTCAATCAATAGGAAACAAATGCATTCCTCAATTCTTTTTTTTTTCATTTCTAAATTCTATGTGTATGTATGTTATTCTCCTGTGCAGGAAAATCAGTGAGATAATGGTAAGAAATAGATTGATTTTTCAAATAAGTATACCTAGAAAATTCAAGAGTGTCATGAAAAAGAATCATACAGGGGCCGGGGAGATGGCTCAGTAGAATAAACACTTTCCTGGTAAGTGCAAGAGTCTGAGTTCAATCCCTGGTTCCACAAAACAAAACAAAACAAAACAACAACAACAACAACAACAACAACAAAATACTGTTTTTTATTACAATTTTTTTCAATTATGAAACCACTGCAAGCTGAGAAAATGTGTTACTTCATTGTCTTTTTCATTCTTTTTCCCTTCCCTGACATAAGTGTAGGGAAATTGTAAATGTGGCTCATGTGCTAAATGGCATTATTTTTGTTCTTTTTGTCTTTCCACTGCCTTTTCTATTTTCCAGTTCTTTCCTATTTTTATCCATAGTGAGTGAAAAATAATACAAAGTAACATCTAACTGACTGTCAGGTGGAAGACTAAGTGAACCTTCTTTACTTCCACTCTGGGTAGCTTCAGGAAGCAAAATCTATAAATCATCCCAGCAGCACTGCTGGCACATGTCTAGGCTGCAGACAGTTTGCTCTTGCTTCCTTCCTCATGGTGGCTCTTCTCTTTCACTCCATGGATAACATATGTGGCTGTAAGCCCTTGTTTTGTACCCTTTAATAAGGATTAACAAGAAATTAATAAGGAATTCAGTGATCAGAGAAGATAGGTATGACACATTGTGGCTAACAGCAACGAGTTGTGGATTTTTTTCCTCTTACTAGTAATATTCTAATAAGATTCAGATTAACATAAAAACTAGTATGGGAAAATGCATTTTATCTACTTGACTCAGTATATATAATA